GGGCTTTCAACTTTTGGGAACATCGAGGAATTAGAAGAAAGCGAAGCAACGCCGCAACGGTAACTCCGCTCGTCCGCTATTACCGGTGCTGACAGTATGATGGGTAGAGACAGGGTAGAAGAAGGGAGCAGGTTGGGGGGTGTTGCGTACGCGCGGAGCCGCAGCCGACCATGAGGATCCGGGACGCCGGCGGCGCGAAGCGGCGGACGAAAGGACGGAGCGCGTCGTAGCGCTGGTACCAGTCGTACGGCGCGCCGCCCTCCTCCACGTACCGCGCGTCCCAGTACTCCGCCTCGCCGTAGCCCAGCGACCTCCCATCGCCGCCGTCCGCGCCAGCGCCCACCTCCTGCGCCCCGTCGTCGTCGTCGGGCGGCGGCGGCGACGACGACATCGCGGGGCAAGGGGAAGGCCGGGGAGCGTGCTGCGAGCGGAGCGGATGGGGGAGGACCAAAGGAGGGCGGAGAGGGGATGAGGGGTAGTAGTTGGGTGAGGAGGGCTGGAGGGGGTGGGAGGAGCATCGGCATCGGTGCGGTGCTCGCGCGTCGCGCCCGCCCCGAGCTTGGGACCAGCCGCCACCACCCACACGTCGCCGTCGCCGCCTGCCCAGTTGATCTCTCTCTTTTTTTCTTATTTTTCTCTATATAGAAAAGTCCTTTTATAGGTTATTTTATTTATGAAAATCGTTTTGTGATTGATTTTTGTCCCGTTCACTTATTTATAAGTAGTATTTTTTCAGCTAACAAATAATATTTTTCTCTCATAACAAATTAACCAATAATATTTTTAGTCCTGACTTATCAGCCAAGCGATCAGGAAATCCGTGGCTGTGCTGTCTCCCCAGTCTCTTCCACTTCGGCTCGGTTTCATTTTCACATTATTATTTTTTCTTTCGCAACCACTTGAACAGGTTATTCCGTTACTGTCAGTGTAATGTTGGCAGGTGGGTCGAATGGACGTGCGCAGCTCAGGCCTTTTTAAATCCAAGATCTAAAGTTGTTTAAGGGGTGGTTGTTATATAGGGTGTTTGATATTAATGAAAAAACAAATTACAGAATTCGACAGTAATTCGTAGGACAAATTTATTAAACCTAATTAATCTATTATTAGCACATATGTTGCTGTAGCACCACATTATCAAATCATGGACTAATTAGGCTTAAAAGATTCGTCTCATAAATTAGTCACAAACTGTATAATTAGTTATTTTTTTAATCTATATTTAATATTTTATATATGTGTCTAAATATTTAATGGGATAGAAAGTAAATTTTATGAAAGGAACTGAACAAGGCCGCACTAAAGTGGCCATCCTAGTACTCAGTACCTATGTGTTCGGCTGCACTATTTCATTCACTACAGCTGGCTGGCCAAAATTCAGCGCTATACCTATACTGCATTTCAAAAAGAAAAGAAAAAAACCCATTAGAGTTTCAGTTCAGTACTAAGAATCTTGGGATCCAACAAATTGTACTCCAAATATTTACTAAGTATACTAGGCCCCGTTTAGTTCGCTGGCAGATTTGGCGCCGCCGGAATACGTAACACTGTAGTACACTGTAGTGTTTCATTTGTATTTGATAATAATTGCCCAATCGTGGACTAATTAGACACAAAACGTTCGTCTCGTAAAGTATAACTAAACTGTGCAATTAGTTTTTTATTTCGTCAACATTTAGTACTCCATACATGTACCGCAAGTTTAATGTGACGGAGAATCTTCTTTTTTATACTGTCAAAATTGGAAATTTGGTAGACTAAACAAGGGCCTAGTGTGTGTGTGCGCTATTTCAAGTCTGATAGACCTTCTCCCAAGAAAACGAGTGCACGTGTTTGGTATAAGCTGCAGGAAAACGAACGGGATGGACTGGACCCAAACCCAACTCGGCAACAGTTTATTGTTTGTTTTGGCTTATACGATCGTGGATTATAAACTGAAACAGTATTTTTTCTCACGTCAAATCAGTCAGCACTTTTGACCTATAATCCATCGCCTTCCAACTTCCACCTTGTGGACATTGGAAAAATGGCGCCACAAGACCTCTGGGCCCTTGGGTTCTCCACTTCATCATCATCACAAAGGCAGAAGGCACGAGCAGGGACACGGCCTGCCCCAGCGCAGCGCACCACCCGATCAGCGTCAGCCCAACCGCCACTGCCCACTAGCCACTGGTCCTCCCTTCTCCTATCCTCTGGCTGCTGGACTGGACGCCTGGACCACGCCCACTGAGTCGCTGGTGGCTCTGCACCTGCACGTGCTCAACTGCTCAAGCAACATCCAGCCCACAGCACAGACAGGTACTGGCCGAAAAAACATGCTGATTTGTTACCAGAGAAAAACACTGTTATTTCGTTAAAACGGTACGACTAATAAATTCAAACGAACAGTCATAATTAGTATTATTAGATAGGTCGTTCTCGCTTTCTGAAAAATCAATTTTTTTAACTTTGACTAATTATATATAAAAAAATATTAATAATTATAATACAAAATTAGTATCTCGTTTAATATATTTTCATAATAAACTTATTTAGATATATAAATATTGTATTCTTTTTCTATAAATCTAGTCAAAGTTAAAAAAGTTTGACCCACACGTATCCCATAACATCATTTTTTTTTGGACGAATGAACTACTATGCAGCCTGTGAGAGCTGCTAAGGGCACCACGCATGGAGACTAACACTCTTAGTGGTTCTTATATAAATAAAGTGATCCACGTAGACTAGAAAGTGTTAAAACTACTATTCACACAATGCAAACTATTACTACTTGTGGTTTGTAAAAAAACTTTTTTCTTTTATCATGCCCTACTTTTATTTTTTCACCTATCTATTTTATCCGATCCACTTGGGGCTGCAAGTAAAAGCATGGCGTTGGGAAGGCCTAAAGCCTGTGACCAACTAGCCATGGGCCATTTGCTGCAGATCAGAACAACACGTTTCACTTGGAGCCATATGAAAGCCTGTTTGTTTCAGTTCAGATTCAGACTCACAAAATGAATGCATGCAGCAAAGGTTGCAATGTAAAGGCAGAGGCTTTTCTTTCATGCAACCATGTATGTTAGGAGGCTAGGCAGTTACAGAAGAAACAATTCAGGGTGGCGAGTAGTTCGCAGTAATCTGAAAGCCTCCTGTAATGCAGATCATGCTCCCCGTGCGAACTGTCTCTTGCATTTGTGTTGCTTCCCTTCTTATATTAATTCAAGCGGCAACAGATCTTGAGAGACAGAGAGAGGGAAAAAAAAATCACGCATTCTGCATGTTTTACCATTTTCCTTGTTGCTAACATCAACAGCAAATCTTTCAACACCAATTGTGAGCTACCGTTCTTTTGCCATTCTCATTTCAATGGAAACCAAGATCTTGTTTAGTTTCTTCCCCTAAATTTTACTTCATATCCCATTGAATATTTGGACACATGCACGGAGTATTAAATATAGACAAAAAATAACTAATTATACAGTTTGCAACTAATTTGCGAGACGAATCTTAAGCCTAATTAGTCCATGATTTGATAATGTGTTGCTACAGTACACATGTGCTAATGACAGATTAATTAAGCTTAATAAATTCGTCTCGTGGATTACTGACGGATTCTGTAATTTATTTTTTTATTAGTATCCGAACACCCCACGTAACACCCTCATGTGACACCACATGTGACACCCCTAAACTTTACGCCATGAATTTAAACAAGACCTTACAAGACGACCAATTTCACTCGAGTAATTGTTGGATAAGAAGAACGTAAAACCATGCTCTCCTGACTGGTTCAGTTAGAAATGGCATTGCTTTACCAGGGTGGTCATTCAGTGTGAGGTCAGCGCACGGTTCATGAAGTAAGTGTCCTTGATATCTATGCTGAGCTGACTAAGAATCCAAGGGCAAGGGTGGTGTCTGTGTCCCCATCGTGTGGATCAGACACCAGCCCTCACGGCTGCTCTCAAGTTGACCTTTTAATTTCAAGATCGAGTAAATCATCATCGGTTAACCCGCTTATCGTGTCTTCCTCTGTACAGTACGTTGCAAGGTTATTCAGCCTGCCAAATTTACAAGTCATTCTTATTTACCAACAAAAAGATATTACATAAATGAGAACTGAGGTACTCATAAATATATCCCTCATCTGAAACTAACTAGAAAACCCAATTAAACAGCCTCTCTACATTTTATACGCTTTTTTCCCTTGTTACTTGAGAACGGAATTTAGCAGGTGTTCTGCAGTTTCATTTAGTGGAGGTAAGGAAAAACTATAGTAGTCCACCCACTGATGGTAGGGATGACAAAATGGAGTGAAAGGAGAAGACTGAAAAAAGGTGCCCATTATCAGGCGTTAGTATTTCAGCCTTGTTTATAGACTTATAGTAATGCTGACAAGGCTTGTAATAGAAGCAATAAGCTCTAAGACGGTACTCCTACCTTGAACAACGTCTGTATCAGATAGGGAACTTACAACGTGTGTACCTTAAAAATCCAGTATTGAACACCACCAGTTGTTTTATTTTATTTCCTCTCGAATACACCAGTACCGTCAGTTATACGACACGAAAGCAATAGGTTACGTTCATATAGGCGTCAGCAGGTCTCTTCTAATCCATTCAAACAAGAGAAAACAATGGAAGTTTCCTCAATCACTCCGAAATAAACCCATAGTATACAGACCATAGAGTAAAACATAACCTAATTTCTTTGGTAGTCTGAGTTCAGGACCAGAGCCTTGGAAAGGGCATGCCAGTTGCCAGGTGACGACACCCTTGCTCACTGACATGTGGGTCCACGGGCCACATGGCAGCTGAACCAAAGTTTTTTTTTTTTTGAAGGAACAGCGGAACCAAAGTGACCAGTATCTCTTTTGTTTTAACTGAAGCAAGTGGCTATGATCATGCAGAAATCAGAGATTGGGAGATCAATAATCTTACACAAAAATTTTCTAGTTCCTTCAATAGCTACAACAAATCTGATCTGGTCATTTTATACAATGTTTCGGCATTGCACTCTCCTCAGTCCTCAGGGTCGCCCTTGTGGAGCATATGCAGTATGTACAGAGAAGCTGACGACAAGAAGATGCAAACCGAGTAGCTGAGGAGGTCCAGCCCCGTGGCTATTGTCACCATCTTGCTCCTCTCGAACATCTTCACAAGCAGAATCATCACGATGACATGCCCCACTTTTGTCTTGAGCGCGTCAAGGGAGGTGATCTTCATCCAGTTCGGGCGTTCCTGCATGAACAAAAGATTTATCGTATTGCTAAAGGATTTTTTTTCATACATGTGCCTTATTACTATTTATCAAGTTTGAAGAAACAGTAGAAATGATGAGTGCTTCAAACCAGGAGTAGGAAATGCTATGAGTTAATGTGCAGTTGCTATGTTTTGTTTCAGTAGCTGGTCGTCTGAATGTTTCACTAGTAACGGAGTTAATCTGAATTCAGCAGTAGACTGAAGAGCATGCAGAATAAGCAATGGGATGGCATTCGAGATATGGTTCTGCATCTGTGTGTCCAACAAAAGCATACAGGATACTGATAAATGGTACTCCCTCCGTTCCAAATTATAAGTCGCTTTGGCTTTTTTGGTACATACATTTTATTATGCATCTAGATATAATAATATGTCTAGATACATAGTAAAATGGATGGAAAAAAAAAGTCAAAGCGACTTATAATTTGGAACGGAGAAAGTACCAGGCTATCGGCAAAACTCATAAACTATTTGGGACTATATGTAGTCTAAATTTTTCAGTAGTGTAGTAGTATGAATGAGTAATTCACTTGACAGCAAGTAGTGTACGAACTGTTGTAAGAAATGAGCAGTTGACTTAAAAATGGGTTTAATCTGAATTTTCAGAAGAAGCAACGACATTCAAGACATGATACATGAGTGCGAGTGAAATGTAAGCAAACAGACGAGTGCTGAATATGGCTTGATATATACTTCAAAAGGTATCAACAGAACTTGCAAAAATGTTTGAGATTTCAAATTCCGACAATTACCTTCAAAGCGAACATCCCGAACAGCGATGATCCACTCAGGGCACGGTCGGATTCAGAAGGAACTTCTGCGGATGCATTGCTGATGAAGAGACCGTAAAGACCCATTCCAAATATCAACATGACTGTTCCAGCAAGATACACATCTGCAGAAGATTGTGCACAAGTGTACCGCAAAGCAACAGTTTAGTGAGGTGGCCCAGACGGATATGAATTATCGTAGCAAATAACATTATTGATGATGCTAACTGACTGAACAAATTAGCTAGAAGAACATCTCACCGATGGCCTCTACGACTTTGAGGACCATCTGCCCCGTATGAATCCCCTTAGCACAGCTCGACCAATAAACCTGGTATGCCTCTTTGATGAAGACACAGCCCTGATCACGAGTAGATGTCAGATAACCAGATCCATGAACCTTGGTGTGGAGTGACAGTAGAAAAGCATTGGCGCCTAACAATGGTAATAAGTATGCATGATTGCTTGTGTGTGTCACAGTGAAAATTTGAACAGATGCAAAAGTGGTGCTAAAACTTGTGGCCAAAAGAATGGCATGGTAACACAGTTCAACTAGTCATGTCAGTTTGCAAGAAAGCTCTGTCCATCGCGCACGGCCACGTAAACTATTTTCAGATTCCAGCCAAAATAACACTCGCTACTAGGAGAGAATGCCAATTTGAATTTGCTGTCTTACATGACTGCGGGCATCGCCCAAGACCAGTACTGCGTGTTAGGTTAGAACCGGAGCAGCCATGGATGGGAACGGGGCAGGCAGAAATCCAAGATCGCTTACATTGAGGAAGCACAGGATGGAGCCGGCGAGTGACCCGGCAACGGCGAGAAGTGCCAGGAACCGGAAATCGAAGATCACCTGCGACGAGCACAGCAGCAGCGACCGCGCGTGGCGTCAGACCGGTAGAATAGAAGACTCTGGAAGCGAGCGAAAGGCGATGGAGCAGATAGATGGGAGCAAGCGTACCCTCTCGACGGTGGTCTCGACGACGGTGGACTTGGTGGCGGTCGCGGGCGTTACGGCGGAGCCGTTGGGCCCGCCCACGTTCCCGTAGCCACGGACGTCCTGGGACGACGACGCCACCTCGCCGGACGGCGAGGAGGAGGCAGCCGAGGCGACGGCCACGAGCCGCCGCCGTGGCGGCGGTGGAGGGAGCAGCCGGGACCCCGCCGGAGCCGCGTGGACGGCTGGCGCGGCGCAGCCGCGCAGCACCAGGAGCGCCATCGGGTTGCTTGCTGTGCTCTGCGCGCGCGCGCGCACGAGAGGCTGGGCGGTTGCCGCGGCGTGCGTGCGGCGCCGGTGCGATGCTCCGGCCTCCGGGCGGGCTGGGTCGCAGGGACTTGGAGTGGTCCGAGTGGAGCGAGAGCGAGCGAGCGACGATCTGAAGGAGAGGTGGGCAGAAGGGGTGGGGGAGATGTACCTGGCGTCGCGCGTCGTCGCTGTCGGGTGACGCACCCACTGTTAGGTTTGTTCCAGCGCGTGGAGCACGAGCACCGGTGCCGTGAAGCGCGACACGACGGTGTAGTGGAGGTCTGGAGCGGGAGGGGCTAGCTGCCTATCTGCTCGAACCCACACGGAAGAGGCGAGTCCGGACTCTCCGAAGTCTGGACGAACGAAAGCGAGAGATGATCAGATGAGACGCGACGATGACGACGAAGACGACATCGCCGTGCCATAGTTTGGGCCAGCACATGCTGGCGCCCAGACCGGCAGCCAGAGCCGTGGACGGGAGCAAGCTGGCCCGTGTTTGTATACCAATATACCATGTTGGCATGCAGCATGCGTATACAGGAAGGGCTACAGATGCGGTCCAGAACGCGCGCCGCGCGCGCGCACAGGAACGGCCCATCGAAATCCACGGCGTGCGTGGGGTGTGGTGTGGCCGTGTGGCCACCCATCATAGATTTGTTATCCGTGCCCAAACTCATGCGCGTACGAGAGTCGAGAAATGTATTTTTTCTTTCTAAATATTCCTCATAAACATGTGTCACAAATCCACAGGGGAGAACCTATACCTCAGTGCCATGTCGTCCGACCTGAGTGCGTGTGTGGGGACCGTGTGCACCCAGCAGCATGCGGACATCCAACCAAACTACGCCGCGTGGCAAGAGATTTAGGAGCCAACGCACGGTGCGACACAGTGCTGATCAGGGCCCATTGGTCAGAAGTCGCTCGACGCCGCAGGAGATTCAATTTGGCTCACCGGAAACCTCTGGTGTTTAAATATGCCCTTTTCCTTTGTTATTGAAGTGCATTCTACCTATATTAAATCTTTTTATATGTCGATAGAAATAATTTTAGTAATAATCATGAAAACAAATCTTTACTTACATGCATGGAAATTTTGTAAAGAGCACAACAAACAGCATGACTCTTAATTTTCGAGACAGGATTATAGGCATATCCCTTGATTTCCAGAACGAAAACTAACCCATCAGGTAAATTTGAATTTCAAAACCTGACTAAGGTCCTGGATACACTTATATATATACCAGCTGGCTGAGAACCGCAGTTCACAACATAGACCGACCTTTCGTGGGTGATAACTGAATTGTGAATTCTGAGAACAAACATTAAAAAAAACTTCTACAACCAGAATGCTAAAAAAAAGGGTGTACCCAGTGCAGAGAGCTCCCACTCTGTGCGGGGTCTGGGGGAGAGTGTCAGTGGTAAGCCTTACCCTTGAACCCGGGACCTTCCGGTCACAGGCGATAAGACTCTACAGCTTGCACCAGGCCCGCCCTTCAACCAGAATGCTACAGGAGAAAAGAAATCTGTATGCCTAGCTACTCGGTAGGAGACTGAGGTCTTGTGATTCGTGAAACGCATGTCTCCCTTGTTATTGTATTTGAGGCCAAACATAGTCAGATGGAGCACACAGCTATCATCATCACCCAAGAGATACTTAGATTTGGCTCAGGGGCGGATCTAAAAAAGAGGGGGGGGGCAGTGTCGATGTTTTACCACTGATAGCCTGCCACAGGGGTACCGTGGTAGTATCGTTCAGGCTTCGGCGTATGCTGAACTCGATGGTAAACGCAAGAGACAGTCGATTTATCCTGGTTCAGGCCCTCGATCGTAGATCGAGTAACGACCCTACGTCCAGTCGGCGTTGGCCTTTTGCGTTGGATTGATTATAAAGTGTTATGTTGTACAATTGTTGTTCTCTCTTTCAGGAGCCCTGCCCTCCTTTATATTGTCAGGAAACCAGAGTCCTAGTCGGTTTACAATGAGATTTCCTAGTAGGATTACTTAATAGTTCTACTATTTAAGATTACATGGGAAGAATCCTAGTTGAACTAGATCTTTTATCTCTCTTGCGGGGTATCCTGTAGGTCCCGTATCGACAGGCAGCCCCCTTACAGCTGGTGCACCAATGGAAATATGTGGAGGGTGAGGGAGAAGAAGAGGGGGAGGAAAGAAAAAAATAGAGAGAGAGGAAGAAGAAGAGACCAGTCTTCCTTCAATCCTGATCTGCATCCGCCACTGCTTTGGCTCCCTCACACATCGCACTGTGGATGACGCAAAATTTGCTTCTTCCCATGTAGGTGAGAGAGGCCCTCCAAGTATTTCTCAGTTTCCCTGCAAAACAATTTGTCCTCCACCAGTTGCCAATCTAATTCCACTGTGCCAAGCTCTATTGGAGTTTCGCTGCCGTTGTCAAAGGGAAGTTGGCAGCAACAAATATAACCATCCCAGCGAAGACCAACCCATGCGTCTAGCTCGCTGTCAAAGTAACCTTCATCTCTGAAAGGTAGAGCCCAGGAATGCCAACTCCACACAGAATACTTAGTGTTGAGGGAGTAGGTGCACTTCTGGAGACCTGGACGATCTCTGTAGGATGTGGTCATGTAGATGGTGTGTCCATCTGAGTGCACATCATATGATGTAATGGTCTCGTAGACGCTGAACGGTGGTGGCAATGACGAGAGACTCCTCCAGAACCAGCCCACCTCAGATGGACTACGTGAGCCAACCAGTGCGCATGACATCACATCAAAGGAGTGTTGTTCGTTACAAGCTGAAGGTGAAAATACATAGAACGTTCCATGGGCAACCACAACAGTGTCGAAGCCACCGCTTGAACTTATCAGCTATAGTACAGTATTTTTCTCTCACAATAAAACAGTATCAGCCGTAGAAACCATCAGCCGAACATTGCAGATGAGCGGGAATGGCAGGGCCAAGTGCCATGGTGGCGAACAATGGAGATCTTCGTCCTGATCGTTTAGGCTTGTTTGCCTTATAAGCCATGGCTGATGGTACTAGTTTGGTGTGAGAGAAAAATATTGTTCGTTGACTAATAAGCCAAATACGGCCGAACAAAGAGGCGGCTTGTTTCCCATGGTGGCGAACAACATGTCCACGTCCCCTGGTGACTCTAACCGTACTACTGGAGGCTCGAGGAGGTGCCCTGCAACAGCAACCCTGGAGAAGTCCTGGTTGTCGTCGGAGTCAAAACTGACAAGGTCAATCTTGTGGATGCTGTATCCCTTCTCCCAGTCATCCAAGGCTAGATAGAGATGCTTCCACCGTCTCTCTGGGCGTGACCTTTTGCAGGCCAGGTCTCCATTGCGGCGCTGGTTCTGGCCGTAGCCCTCCACTCGGCGCTTAGGCATCTCTTTCCTCCAGATAGTAGTGCGGTAGACGCCTCCCCTCCCTTTGTGTATCTGGATCTATCTACGGATGCAAAACGAGCCTTTTTAGAATATAAATTTATACAGCGCAGACAGCAGCATCACAGGTTGCAATCGAAGAGAAGTCGGATTCCGAAACTGAATCTGGAACCACGAGTTTGTTGTGTGTACCTGGCGCTATCTGGCGGCGGGCTGTCTCGGACCCGTGGAGAGGAAACCGTAGATCCTTCCAAGCTGCTTGGCGGGGCGGCTGGATCGATTGGTGACACCCGATCGATCCAACCTGCTCAGCCTCAGCGGGGCTGCCCGATCGATTAATCAACTATATGCCACCTCTCCTCCAAACCCTACCTGCAATCCAGGCTGCAGCCCCTCTGTTTATTTTCGGCCCTCCTTGCGCCGAGACTCGACAGGATTTCCGTCCATAAGGGCAAATTTGGAAGACCACAGAGGACTCCTTGCGCGACACACGTGTCAGTTCTGCAACGTTTGCTTGGTTGCCTACTACATCTCCTGGGCCTTGGAAACGGACGTTGGGCTTTTGTTGCCGCCCTGGCGCCCTGCCCTTCCTCTTGCGCTTGATGACAGGGGTGAAAACGGTACGATTATTTTCTGACCGTATTTGAGACCGAATTCATTTGGAGGGGTTTAAATCTGTCCGTATCCGAGTCCAAATATTCATCATCCTATACCGTATTCGCATCCAAATACTCAAATCGTATATTTATGATGTCGATATCCAATCGTATCATATCCGGCGTGGTTGACTCTATCCGTATTCGATTCCGAATCCGGACAGAAATATGGAAACAAATGTAATATGAGTGATATCCGTCCGTATCCGATCCGTTTTCATCCCTAATGACAGCAGTACTACGAAGGAAGGAGTGTCGTAACAGTATCATCAGCCTTAACTGATTCATTCATCAAAATAACACTAGAACTTTGGAAATTCTTTTTTTGTTGTAGCTCAACAAAGTAAGCTTGTATTATCTAATGATTGTACATGTAAACTGGATCTAATAACACTAGATTATCCTCATCCTCAGCTGGAAGAAGGGAGGACAAAGAGGAACCAAACATTATCTTCAACATTGTTTTGTTTTCTCTCTCCAACCTGACGCATTAAAAAAATAGTGAAATCCTAGATCAGACCAATTCCATAAGAAATGGATCTCCTGAAGACATAACCCTGATTAGTTTTACAAAGTCCATCTCATTCTGAACCTTCACCGGGTACACTGCATGTGCTTCAGCAGTATAAATTGTTGAGAGTGTGGTATTTGATGGCAGATCTGCCCTATAGACAAGTTTTGTCAAAGCTTTGGATTCAAAGTTGCTCAGTGAATCCATTGCAAGGAATAACATGGGGACTGCAAAACTGTGATGAATGTCTAAGCTTCCAATAGCTTTAACAAGATTTGAAAAGCCACCGATGTACCGCTGAGGTATGTAAAATATCTCGCTGCTGCAGCGAATTAGATTATTTTCACCAACATTTCTCCTGTAATTATCTTCGTAATGAGATGGAAAATTGCTGACTGCCTTTTTAATCATGTCCCCTTGGTTCACAAACCACTCAATTTTGTTACCATGTAGAGGCACATCCGACCAAGATTCCTTCACCTGGGAAGAGATTAATTTTATCTCATCAAAAACTTCAGAAGTTCTGTATTTCACATATATATGTTCTAGAAATCATGACGTGGATATGCACCTGGTTGGTTATCCAGAGCCTAGCCTTATCAGCATTCAAGAGGTTCCAGTAATTGAAGATCATATGATCTTGAAGGAACAGAAATCCTTGAGCACCTCCAAACCGAGCAAACACCTTCGGCAAGTACCTGCAACAACAAATTACCAGTACACACTTACAGAGTAGCATAGTTTTGATACGAAGGAAATGAAGCTCTACTGGATGCAGCAATCAGTAAGATTTAGGGGTTTATTTAGTGTTGAGAGAATTTTATCGACCAAGTAAGAAATGAAGTTATTTTTACTCACTTGTAGGCTTGTGCCAAGTTGCTGAATTCCACAGCAAGATCAGAATTGCTTTGCTCTGAAAGAATAACAACTGCTCGAAATATCCGACCGTAAAGCAGCCTCCACTCTAGTGCAGTTCGGTCCACAAGTTCGGTGCAATGAACTATGAGCACGATATCACCAAAATGCTTCCTCCATTTAATTAGATTGCCAATTTCAGTGCTTACTTCCCCAATCTCTTCAACCCCAAGATGCACTGAAGGCAGCTTCTTTGGTGCAAACTCCTTCTTGTCCCCATGTCCAATGGTTGCCCTAGGCCGGTCAATCTCCAATGACATCAACCGTGGCTGCCGGTACCCGATAGCAACAAGATCTTGGAGCCAAGCAGTCATGAAATGCAAATCCTTTTCACCCCAGAATCCCTCCTCTGTCATCGCATAGCTTAGATCAAGAATCCGCTCGAACAGTGTCCTCTTACTGGATCGCCACTCCATTAGGAACTTTATCAGCTTCCCTACATTGACATGGAGATCCTTCTCTTCATCAAATGGGTGAGCACGCACATTATCTATGCGGTGCACAGTTGGTGGGTAGACAACTAGGTACCCTCCAATCTCCCATAGTATCCTCTGTGCCCAGTATCCGCGTATGACATCCGATGCCATTGGACTCACTGACACCGGCAATGCAAGCCCCCAGAACGCCGGCGAGTGGAACAATGCGTTAACAGAGTTGACTGGCGTCATCGTGCCCTGTGGCAGCGCAACCTTGGGTGCATCAGCGTCAAACCGGAAATCAAATGCCTCCATCTCCAATGACTTCCGAGTGAAGTAGAACACTGAATCAACATCCGGAAGGCCATTACACAACCCTTGTTGCATGAATTGGCCACCACTGAATATCTCGGTGTAGAACTCCTCAGCATCCAGTTCCCCTGCCTTCTCCAGCGGCAGCCCCCGTGGCCAGACCGACGGCTGCCCAAAGTGCACGAACGGGTTCACGACCGTCCGGTTAGGATCGGCATGGCTGTACTGCAGCAGCACGGCGCCTCCCTGGCGCTGGTCCAGATCGACATCGAAGTGAGCGGTGAGGTTCCCACCCAGGACGGCGTTGCGAGCGTCGGCGTCGTAGATGACCCGCGCCCCGCGCTGCACGGCGAAGAGGTACGCCGCGGCCTTGCGCGCCGGGCCCCGGGCTGGAAGGAAAGCGACGGAGCGGAATCCGAGGCGGGCCTGGTCGGCGAGCGTGAGCAGCACGGCGCCTGGTTGGGACCAGTCCGCGGGGGTCGCCTCGTCGGCGACGGCGAGGAGCTGCCACCCGGGGACCGCGCGCAGCGGGCGGTGCCGCGGGGCATGCGGCGACGCGGTGAAGACGATCCAGCGAGAGCCGCGGAGGTCCGGGTGCGGCGAGGTGGGGAGCGCGGGGAGCGGGGGCACCCGGGACCAGAGCACGGACGGGTACGGGAGGCGGCGGGGCGCGCGGTAGGAGGCGGGGCAGAGCGCGGACGGGGAGGCGCCGCCGTAGAGGAGGAGCAGCAGGAACGGCGCCGTGGCGAGCGCCGCGAGGAGGACGTAGACGACGCGCCTAGATGCGGGTGTGGAGGTAGTCGGCAAGGCGTGCGGTGGCATTTGGGCGTTGGGGGAAGGAGAGGGGTTGACTCGACGCTGCCGGGTCAAGCGCGAGCGTCGCGGCGCCGAGCTGGTGGCCGCTGCCGGTGACGGTGAGATTGTTCGGCACTTCGGCCGGCGAGGGGACCGGAAGGGGGGACGCCGGATGGCGTGGACTGCGTGGTCTGGGTGGGAGTAGGCTCTAGCAGAAGTTGGACTTGGACCGAACTGCGGGCCTCTTTCCTGGGCAATTTTCAATGCCATGGGCTGGATTCGAATCTTGATTCGGCCCATTAATTTAAGAGGCGAAACCCGGACCCGCACCGCTGCACTCCTCCGGCGGCCGGCGCTCCGGCTTTCCCCCAGACGCTCGAAATTTCAAAGTGGCGCTGCTCCCCTGTCAGCTCCACGGCCACGCCAACTTTTCGAAAATCCCCCACAAAATCCCAGCCCCCCGGGGCCCCGGCAACCGCTGCCTCCGCCACCACCGGGCGACTGCTCCTCCTCTGCCGGAGAGCGCGGCGGGCGGCATGGGAGCGGAGTATCCCACCTACGACGACGTCTCCGGGGCCCGTGCCCTCCTCTTCCTCGCCGACTCCACACCCCCGCCGGCCCCGCCTTCGCCGACTCCCGCTCTCAGGTACTTTCCTCGCTTGCCTCGCGTCGTCTGCTCATCGCCCCCACCGAATTGCACTTCATCACCGCAATTTAACCGAGCCTCCGCTGCGGCGCGCTTCTCCGCATTGCAGCGACGAGTTCTCCTGCTACTCGGGCTCCTCGTTCTCCTACTCCGGCGCGTCGGCGAGGTCGTGCGTCTCCGACTCGGCGCAGCGCGGCCGCCCCGTCGACCCCCTCCGCGTGCTCTCCGTCGTCGCCTCCCTCCGCCGCGTCGACCCTAAGGTGTGCAATCCGGTTCCTCGACTAATGATCAGCACGCGCTTGCGAGAAGTTCTCTTCTGCGATTACGCACTGATGGCTCTGCTCCTTGGCTCCAGGTGCTCGCCGAGGCCACAAGCGAGCTGTTCCATACCGACGCAGAGAAGAAACGGAAGGGCGTGTGGATCGAGATCGACAGCGGCGGCGACGAGGATGACCAGAGCGAGAGGAGCAGCGCCGTGGCCAGCGAGGGGAGCACCGTCACGGCCGTCGCGTCCGCGGGCTCCACGGCCACGTCGGGGAGATGCCACCGGGCTCCGCGGGCGGGTTGTCCTGCTGGTGGGACTGGGAAGGGGCCGAGGAGGGCGGACGTGATCATGCGGTGGTTTTCACGGCCGCAAGCTGGGCCAGCCACCGAGAATGACATCCGCGCCGCCGTCGGCGACAACTCCGGCACGAGCAAGGCGATACGCTGGTGAGCTTGACTCTGCCTCCGACTCCCATTTGAAGCGGTTTTGCAATGGTTGCCTGATTGCTGCCTAAACCTGTGTATCTGCGTGCTTCCACTCGTGCAAAATTTGCAGGCTGCTGAAGCAGGAGGGCGGCTTGCGGCGTGCAGGCACTGGTGGTGCCCTGGATCCGTATGTTTATATGGTATGTTAAACTCGTGCAGACTACTTGAATTAGGATGGTAGTTGGAATTGCATTTTAAAATCCGCAATGTGTTGTGCACAGCTATGAACTTCAAAATCAGTGAATTGAAATGTAGAACTCCTAGAACTGCAAATTAGGATTTAGGAACTTGCCGCAGCCCGCAAGCATAAGGAGTCATTTTAACCATATCTTAGTTTTTCTGCTGTGCATTATAGTTATGGACTCGCATGATATATCGTGTATACTAACTTTCTGAAAAAAAAATTCAGGTCGCAGACTGATCCGATGAAGTTAACTAAGTTTTGTTTATAGCAATGGAGATGTTTACTGTAAGGCTATTGGAGAGGCCAAGTTATCTTCTGAAGTGTATCTAGTAATTTCTACCTGCTGTTGTCTTAATGGCCTGGTTTTGCCTTCCCACGGAGAAGTATAGGATAGAAGTTAAGTTGTCATGTTAGCACGATGAAGATAAGCTCTTGGACAGAAAAATGGCAAGATAGAATCTCAAGTATAAGTTTAGTATAGAAAGTATAGCAATGAAGATAGCATGCTTTCGTTGTTCATTTATGCTGAGATGGTATATCGTATAATCAAATATATATATATATATGGTTTGGATTATGGAATAAAATGAGATCATTTTTCAGCTTCTTGAATGCAATGAAATTTTAATTCGCCCCTTTTCTTTTTCTTATGGCATATATGTTGTCGAACTTGTGTGTCATTTGTCTGTGATCTAGTCATTGTGCTTCTATTTGTTCTATTATGGAGGATCAAGGTTTTCAAAGATACCAATTTATTGCCTTGAAACAATTAACAAAGCTAGAGATGTCGAGTCTTGAGACTCGATCATCTGCATGGTTTCTTAAGCTAAATCTGACATACTAAGAGGATATGCAGAGTGAACTTTTGTGTGACACCTGAAGCCATTGGTCCTCTTGTTTGAAATTCTAGCTCCTCTTCTTGGAGAGCATATGCTTGAACCAGAAAGCTGAGTCCTTGGGGTACCTCTTCAGCGTCTTGTAGTCCACATAGACCACTCCAAACCGCGAAGTGTACCCAAGCCTCCACTCAAAGTTGTCAAGCAGCGACCAAGCAAAGTACCCAATGACTCTGGCACTGCCATCTATTGCCTTCTTGAGCTCAGTTATGTAGTCTCTGTAATAACGAATTCTTACTGTGTCATGCACACCCTGAGTAATACTAACATCACCAGGTTGGTCCATTCCTGCAAGAGCATAACACTTATCAGAACCAATCCATAGACCATTTTCCTTGGAAATTTGAATTTTGATTCATGAGTACCATTTTCAGCAAGGATCATTGTAGGATTTTCATAAGTTTCCTTGACATAGTTGACAGCCCTGTTGTTTCCCCACGGCACAATGTACAGCCAGTAGGAGTTTGCCTGCACAGCTCAAAGAAATTTACAGTTACATAATCAGAGGCAAACCAACTTTCAGTCCTCCCTGCTTTCGATGTCTGAAGACATCTACCAGCATACTTACATGAGCGCCAATAGGAACGCTGTTTCGTTCGTCTGCAGAAACATGTGAGAAGCATATGACTGAATGAGCATCTAGTCACAGTTGACAGCAGCAAAATAAACTGCAGAATTCAAGAATTTGGTATGTCGAGTCAGAAACTTACAGACAAAACCAACATGCCAATCATCCTGGTAGCTGACTGGCGTCAGGTTCCATGTCCCAGGGTCCTTCATGTAGAAAGAAGTGTAGTGGTTGATGCCAACATAGTCTATAGAGCCTTTCACCATCCTGGATTCTTCATCGCTGAACAATGGCAGCCTGTCTTTGACAATCTCTTGCATCGAGTACGGATACCGTCCATTTATAATGGGATCAAGCAACCTGTAAGAAGATTGTAGTATCAGTTTGTTCTTGGCAACGAGCTGTGTTAGTTTGTTTCCCTCCAAGATAAGATATCATCAGTTTGTGCCTAGTACGCTATAATAATGTCACTGACTCACTGATACAATGAACCTCTAATAAGGTCTGCAATGACATTTGGTCCTTAATCAAGTGTGTGTTTTCAGGGTTTTACCAGCCTAGGTGGAAGTCCCTGGCTCGCTGTGCTGCAGCCTGGTCCGCATTGCTGTCGCTGAAAGGTTCGTACCACACGAAATCCAAGAGAATTCCAATCCTCCCCTATTGGTAAAGCTGTTCGTTTAATGGAAAAAGAGATACAGATCATCTTTCAGATGCCTGAGCACTAACATTTCAACTGAACTAAATTTGCACCGTGCAATTCACACTTCTGAGTTCTGGGGCTTGAAATGGTTAGCAGGTCTGCATTTTACCTGATACTTGTCGCGGTATCGCCTCACCGCAGCTGCATGAGAAAGGATGAGATGGTGTGCAGCAAGGTACGGCTCCGTCGTGGAGTTGCCTCCTGCAGCGCACCCAGAACACCCTCCCGGTGCGTGCAAGCCATTGTCATAGCCCAGAGCGGCGACGCACCTCGGCTCGTTGAAGGTAAACCAGTTCTTCACCCTGTCCCCGAACGCCTGGAAGCAGAACTCGGCGTAGTCTGCAAACGCCTCCCTTCATGAGCACAGCGTGCAGTTGGATCAGACTGACTGACACATGGTTAAATCAAGTTGAAATTTGATTTCTTGATGCCTAGTTTGAAATTCTTACACAATCTTTGGGCTAAGCCAGCCCAAGTACTGTTCATGGAGTGCCAATGGGGGAGGTCATAATGGTAGAGGTTTGCATACGGCGTGATACCTGAGTTTGCATACGGCATATAAGAAGCTTAATCAGGAATCTGAATGTTCCCTGAAAGAATATACTAACTGCCATATGGGAGAATCTTACCTTGCTGAAGCATGTAATCTATGAGCCTGTTGTAGTAATCCACACCTTCCTGGTTCACCTTGCCAGTTCCATCTGAATATATTTTATTTTATTTTATTTTATACAGAACTCTACATCAGAAACTCCTCGGACCCAAGAAAAATCACAAAATGGAGCACACCTACTTGGGAAAATCCTCGACCAAGAAATTGAAAACCGGTACGCATCAAAGCCCATGTTCTTCATTATGTTCACATCTTCCTGTGCCTCAAAAAACATCCATCAGCCATATCAAGCATTACAAAACAACAAGGAGCACCAGGGAAAAAAAACTCACAGCATTCAGATAACACACCTTGTACCGATGATACTCGTCGACCGTCACATCAGCGGTGGCATTGTTAGGGATGGTCCCTTATTTTCAAGAACACAAATTCAAGCATCACTGTCACCACTTCGTTATCCTAAAGAATCAGAAGAAAAAGGCCATGGTTGTTCAAACTGCTCGGCTTACTTACTTACCGGGTACCTCTATGAAGGCGTCCCAGATGCTGGGGCCCCGGCCCCCGTGCTTGGCCATCCCCTCGACCTGGTACGCCGACGCGGCCGTCCCAAAGACGAAGCCCTCCGGGAACGCGCGGCGGCTCAGCCCGCCGGCGTCGTAGATCTCCGGGTTGAGCCAGTAGCATCGCGCCGTCGGCAGCGGCGGCAGCAGCAGACCATGGTGAGCTGCTGCCGCTAGCAGTAGAGCTAGCACCGCGAGCTTCACGGTGTTCTGTGCATGGTCCCAGTGGAAGCAGCAAAGGCCGGAGACACAGGCCGTGCTTTCCGAAGGCTTAAAAGAGGGAGGAGGGCGAGCCATTGCCCTGTTCCTGTTGTTTGTTTAACTCGAGTTCGAAATCGACAGTTCGAGTCAGTGTTGTGTGTGTGTGTGTGTGTGTGTTTTACTGCGTTGCCGATTGCGTGGCTCTGTTTGTCTTTTTTTATACTCCCAATAACGAGATGAAGGACCCACATATCCAGTGAATGATTGGCAAGTTTTCTTGGTTAGAATATAATATATACTCGTACTCTATATGTTCCTTTTTATCTATCGCTACCATGTTCCTTTTTATCTATCACTATCACTATATTTATAAAAAATATTAGCAATACTTATATCTTCAAATAAATTTATTATAAATATTGATTCAACCATTTATCTAATGACATTAATTATTAATATTTTTTATTATATTTGGTCAAAGTTGAATATAATTGACTTTTTGAGAACGCATATAAACAGGAATGGAGAGAGTAGCTACTGGTCAGAAAACAAGTCCATTAGATTTAGATTGATTTTTTTTGTTGGTTATCAATCACATTGATTGATAATATTTTCTCTGATATACTCCCCCTCCCCAAATAAAATCGACTTCTAGAGTTGTTGTTCCTAGTCAAATTATTTTAAAATTGACTTAATTTATAGAAAATAGCTCCAACATTTACGAAATCAAATTAGTATCTTGATATATTTTATTACATAATCTACTCATTTAGTGTCATAGATATTGTTATCTTTTTCTATAAAGTAGGGCAAACTTAAAATAGTTAGCTTTTGATGATCTTAGGAATTGATTTATTTAAAACGGAGAGAGTAAGTTGTAAGTTGTTTAGCTTTTCTCTAGATTTAACCAAATTTATTAAAAATTACATAAATCTTTAGACCATCAAGCAATAATATTCCTTAGATATACTTTGACTTAGGATAAAACTAAATATGTCTTACATTTTGAAATGAGGATAGAACGATATTATTCATGCTATATTCATAATAAACAAGTATAATGTATTTCTTTAAATAATAATAAATTTAATTGCTACTAAACAACCTCATCAATTCAACTTACGAAAAGCTAAGAAAAAGACTATCTGCGCCTCACTTCATCTATAGTTGTGTTTGGTTCAGATATAGAAAATACTTGTGCTGCCAAAAGCATAACACCAACTAAATAGGTAGAATTAGAAGTTGTTTTCTAGAAACCGCTACTTTGTAGTAGTTTTTTCATAACACATATTGAACCCTATTTTTGGCTTTCAACTTTCTGCCTTTACCCATTAGTGGAAACATACAAGTTACAACTCTTTATGGCACATAGCTCACAACAGGTTTTTTATAACTCATACTATAGCTTACAGTAGTTTTTTCACAACTCAAAGCTAAACCAGACAAATCATAGTATAAACTGCTTTCCACTGGTCCTTGCTACAAATGTTAACTGATCTGTACTGACCCAAACTGCAAATATGGAGAGCATGATGCGCTTCATTTGAACGGACAAGTCTCCGGCCTGTTTCGGCTGAAACGATCGTGGATTATTACTGCTGACTGATTTGGTGTGAGAAAAAAATACTCTTGTAGCTTATAATCCACGATGGTTTCCGTAGGATCGAACAGGCTCGCCGGCGTCAGCAGTAACTGCAGGGAAAGTGGATTGGATCACCGTACGGGGGTCTCCATGATACTGCAGACATATTGCTTCTCGTTTGAATATAGCTACCGTGTCAGGAACAAACATATCCGTACACGTGTTAGCGTGCTACAGAACATTTGTTTTTTAGATGATGTACAGAAAACAATTGTCGAGATAAGAATTTGACAAAGTTTGGCAAGGCAAGATCGGGCCGCGCGATATGCGCCCTGTTCGTTTGGGCTGGTTTGGCTTATAAGCTATGGTTGAAAGTATTGTTGTCTGGTTTGGTGTAAGAGAAAAATACTATTCGTTGGCTGATAAGCCATGACTTATAAATAAAAAACGACCAAACGAACAGGCTGATGGGCTCCCGCCGCCCGCAACAAGAAACGGTTCTCGTGCGCATCACCGTTAACCGAGCCTGGACCTTTCTTCCCCTTCGCCGCGCTCGCGTACGCGTGCAAGCTTCGTTTGGGGAGGGCGGGCGGCTACCGGCATCCGGGTCCGGCGACGTCTGCCTTGGCGTGCAATGGCAGCACGAGGTGTTGCGTCGCTAAACTGCCATCACGCTAGCGATCCGGCGCCCTATTTGTTTGGGCTTGTTTTGGCTTATAAGCCGTATTTTTTCAGTTAACGAACAATACTTTTCTCTCACACTAAATCAGCCAACAATGTTTTTCATTATAACTTATCAGTCAGACAAGACCAAACGAACATAACGTTTGTGCTGTGGAGGAGGCGCTGCTTTGGTGGGTGCCCGGCTGACTCTCGGATCGGCGGATGGCAAAGCCAGTCGCGTTTGGACAGTGGGAGAACCGGAGGACACGGCCGAGGCCGATGAGAAGAGACAAGGGACAAGGGACATGGGACAAGGGACAGGTCCACGTGCCAACAACAGTGTACTGTATATACTACTACTACTGCTCCTAGCTTCTTCTCCAAAAAAACAAAAGCAACTTGATTATTTTACGTTTGTGAAGGATGGAACTAGGCGTGATTGGGTTAGATCGGACCAAGAAAAAAACGCCGGGTATAAAAAAATGGCTTGTGCCAATTCGACGTGGCCGTCGGGTCTGGGCGAGCAACGTACGAGTTTGTGCAGATTAATTCTCAAAAAAAAAATTTGAATTATATGGGTCAAAAGTTATGGACCGAGGTCATCCAATGCACTAGTCGGATCAGGCAAGGTAAGTTTTCTTTCCAGCGAATCAGGCCGCCAGGCTGATCGGGTCAGGTGACCTACGGATGTCTAGCACGTAGTACATGGACATAAATACCTCCATTCTATCCGGTCACTTTACCTCGCAGTCCAAAATACAGCCAAAAAAAAAAGCAAAAATGTTGTCGGTAGCTCGTCTATTTCGTCCGGACACATGTTGATGGCCTCGACGACCGTCCGAACGGCCTAACACGCAACACTGCATGCGTATGAAAACAAAAATAAAAAATCGTGGTTCTCACCTTCCCTCGAATCGCCGTTGTGTCCGGATCTATTCTCGAACTCACTCTCCACGCCCACAGCGCCGTGGCGTGCTCAACTGCGACCGCAGTGCAACGGCGTGGTGTACACCACGACCGAGCGCCGTCGCCTGCCTCCTGTCTCCCCACCACCACTCACCACTCGGCGTCTAGGAGATAGATCGAATATTTTCATGAACAAGAAAATCAGAAGAATCTTTTTCTCTATTCACTACCATTCCGCGTCTTCGACTTCTATTAGTTACTTTTCTTCTTTTATGCAGCGCCAGGCGTCGCCGCCTACCTCCTATCTCCCCACCGCCACTCACCACTCGCCGCTGAGTTCTCCGAGCTGACGCGGCGTGGTCCACGGCGACTATTCTAGCGCGGCGTTCTTCAACGCGCCCAGCCGCTAGCCTCCCGCCATCCTCCCTTTCCACTGCACCCAAGCGTCGCTTGCTTGCTATCGCAGTTCCCCACAAGGTAGGCCATGGCTGCCGGCGACGCCATGTTTTAAGTGTTTTCATCGGGATGTTGTGTATGTTGCAATGGCTATATACGCATGTTGCAAGTGTATGTTTTAAGTGTTTCGGTTGTTTCAGACATATGTTTCAAGTGTTTCATCTGGATGTGTAGAAGTATATCAGGTTGTTGCATAACATGTATGTTGCAAGCGTATGTTTTAGGTGTTTCATACATATGTTGCAAGTGTTTTATCTGAATGTTGCAAAACTAGATCTGGATGTTGCATGCATTTGCAATGGCTTTCAAGTGTTTTAAGTTGTTTTGCAAGTGTTTTAGACATATGTTACAAGTGTTTCAACGTTTTTGGACGTATGTTGCAAGTGTTTTTTCTTGATGTTGCAAAAGTAAATATGGTGTTATACATGTTGCAATAGGACCACCTACCGCAACTGCCTGTGGGGTGTTAGAAAGCGCACGAGGCATGAGCGGTCCCCGCCTACAAGCGTGTGGAAAGCGTACGAGGCACGAGCGTTGAGCAGTCTCTGCATGTTTTCGGTAGGACGAGTGGCACTTGCGGTCCAGGTGGTGCGAGCCCCCGTGTGGGCGTGCCGGGTGTAGGCGCAGGAAATAGGGTAGTGGCACCGGTGTCCGGACACGGGCGTCTGTCCGAACATCCGGGCGCTAGCAATAAAAAAACAGAGGGAAAGAAATGGAAAGAAATTCAGGACAGCTTGCTATTTCGACATGTGATGTTTCTGGCCCAGCCTATGATCCGTCTAGGAACGGCCGAAGCCCAGGTGAAGCACGACTCAGCCTACGGGCGGGCGGCCCAGCCCAGGAAACGGCGGCCGCCATCGTCGGCCATTAATCCGCGGGTGACTCGGACGGACGGAGCAGAGTCCGCACGGTCCACGCCCCCGACCTCACGTCCGGTGAATGGTGATCACGGCTGACGGCTCCTCGTGACGGCGACGGATCACGGCTCTATGACCGTGAACCACTTCCCTCCCAGAGCGGGTTGCGAGCATGCTTGTCCATCCTCCAAGCATCCCTCGTACGGCCGAAGATTCGTCGCAGCAGCACAGAAAAGTCAACTTCACCGATGCTTTCTTCCTAGGGCATAGGCACGGGTTACGGGTGCGGTCAGGACTTGGGAATGCACGATGGTCAGGAAGGAATCCATTCGAGGGCCACCGAACAAAAAGTCTTGTTGCACCCCCGGCCCGGCCCGCCGTCGTCGTCGTATCGGGCGCTCGATCCAGCGCAACCAACGGCACGTTCGCTTGGCTTATAAGTTATATTTTTTTTAAGTAACAAACAGTATTTTTCTCAAGAATCAGTCAACAGCAGCCAAGCGAGCAGGGCACCGGGGGCGCCGCCCGTCGCTGCCGAGGCTTCCTCCGGTCCGCCGATGACCGGGATGCCCAGCGTGCCCGCGACGAGCCGACAACGACGACCGACCTCACCAGACGCCCTGTGCGCCCAT